TCTCAAGTGGGCATAGCAGTTTTTTCGATTTTTTAATTCCACTTTATAAGCAAAGCATTTCATTTCCATATATTTGCATTCAATAAGACAAAATAACTTGATTTATTGGCGGTTAACATATTCGCGACATTATCTTCAAATTTTATTAAGATTTCTCGGAACTTTCTGAATATTATAAAATTAGTAGCGATTTGCGATCGCAGTAATAAACAAAGGTTTATAATTTAAGTCAAACTTGTGTTGATCAAGTCCAACTTTTACAAGTTAAATCCAAAATAGCTTAGATCGGTCTGTTTTATACTAGTCGAATCTGAGTTACTTAAGGAAAGTCCTGTTTATACAATTGAAGTTCAACTTGTACAAGTTAAGTCCGTATTAACTTAGTTTGGTCTGAGTTGCTCCGTATGAGTTCGTGTTATGTAAGTCAAGCTCGATATATCGAGTTTAAATCCAGTTTAGCTGGTTAAATCTAAGTTAAGTCAAAATTGACTTGGCTTAATCCGATATATTTAAATAATTTATTAAAATAGTCAGAGTTACACAGTCTCAAAGTTTAGTTATCCCAGTTAAGTCAGAGTTAATTAATTTAGTCCAGGCGGACATAAGTTAAGTCCTGGTTGCTGGTTAAGTCTATTTTCTACAATTTACTCAAGGTTAAGTAAAACTTGAAAAAGCTTAATCCAACTTATTCAAATTAACTTTGAATTGCGCAAGATTAGTTTAACTTGCATAATTTTTTTTATAAAGTCTAAGCTTCCGATCTTTTTGCTAGTAATTACAAATTTGGTTTTAATTTTAGGAAATTTAACCCTTCAGCAAATTATCAAATTAATGAAATAATATCGATTTTCCAACAGTAAGCAGACTCTCTTATAGAATTTGACTCCGATTTCAGGGATTGTGCAAAAAATGAGCACAATAAATTCACCGTCGAAGCTCAAAAGTATAAGTTGAAGGAACTTTGGTGAAGAGTCTGCGAAAAAGAAGTATAAGCTGTGCTCCAATGCTTATCTGAGATGCGTGTCAGCCATTTGGGAACTTTCGAGTCAATTATCGAAAGTAAAAGAACAGAAAATATAAGAGTCCGATGTCATGGAACATGACATTCCTCTTTCACCACGTGATATGGAAGCATTCAAAGGCGATTCATGGCCATTTACATTCGCAATAAGTGTATAAGTCCAGTGGTAAAATTATTCCACTTAATCAAAAAGGCTGAGGGTGAGGCAAAGGATATTGTTCGTAAGTTCTCACTTACAAACTAGGGGTTTTCAACTGCTTGGAGCGATCGTTACGACACTAAAAGATTGTTAGTAAATAGCCAGTTAGAGATTTTATTTAATTTTTCCACGGTAGGAAATGAGTCTGGGAGTGCAATGAAGAATCTTCTAAGAGAAATTAATAATTGCATTCCGGCACATCAGATTCAAGTTCTCTTCCTCCACCGAATTTCCCGAAAATACGTTATCCGTGTGGAAATAGTCCGTCCAAGGCAAGTCCGAAATTCCAAGATAGAAAGATATGGATAAGTTTCTCACTAGTCGATTTCACACTTTAGAGACCGTTCACGATCTTAAAGGGTCTAACGTCACAAGATTGTCAAAGGTAGAATCTTCGAAACATGGTAATTCGCCAAAAATACTAAATACCTTTCAAATGAGTGTGACCATATACCATTGCAAGTTGTGCAATAGCGATGAACACAATATACGATTCTGCCTACAATTAAAAGGAATAGCTCCTTCGGAGCGGAGCAATGCTGTGCGGAAATAAAAACTTTGCCTGAACTGTTTGACCATCGTACAAGGTATTGCGCTTTTACATTGCGCGATTGCGATTCCAATTGTTCAATTTGTCAATCTGAACACCACTTAATGCTACATTCGCATTCAGTTCAGAAAAACTACTTAAATAAAGGAGATTCCCATGAAAAACCAAGAAGTGTGGGTACTACTCCGAAAAAAAAAATCGTCAACTTCTTGCGTTTCATTTTACAACGAGGTGGCGCTATAAAAGTAGCTGAAATGTTTTTGGGAATCGGAAGACACTCTTTGGAGTCGAAACAAAACCATTGAAAACGAACCTAGCGAAAAGACTTACACATCCACGACCAAAAGTACTGATTCGGGCCGATATATAGTTTCTTTTCGCCCACAAAATAGCATTAGGATCCTCGCGAAAAAAATATTTTCGCAGTGTTGAACTGCCGTGCGCGTGAAATTACCCGTCTTTTCCCACTATTTCCGTGTGCCCCATCACGCGCCAATTCCTATATCCTTTCTGGCCAAATTTCGTTAGACCATCGACCGCTTAGCGGCGGCCGTTCGAGCTAACGAAAAATCATTCTAAAATCAACAGTCCTCGCTCGCGCACGAAAGCTTTTTAAACCGCGGTCTCTTTCTATTTTAGACATTTAAGAACCATCATCAAGGAACAATTTAGCAAAATTTTAAAAATGTATACATAGAAATTTTATTCGTAAAGAAAACCATAATGAATATCACCTGTGAAATAACATCAATTGAATTTTTCATTAAAATAATTTGTGAACAATTTTAAATCAAAAAGAAATGCTTTTTATCTAAACTGTGGGCCCGCTCGACAGCCGGCATCCCCTTACTTCCCCTCAAGTCCTTAGCGACTTGAACATTGGTCCCTCGAGTCTAAAGTAGATCCAATCTATGGTAAACAGCCACTACATATAAAAAGAATAATCAAATCATTACCTAAACATAACAAAAAAAAAACCTACGTACCCCCGTACGATCGAACAACAAAAAAATTTTAATTAATGTTGAATAAACATAAAAATCGTAAAGTGAAGTTGTGAAAACTGTGATAAAAAAAGAAAAAAAAGCATTTTTTATCATACTTATCAAAAAAAAAAAAATAAAAATATATAATACATATACACATATATTAAAAAAAAAAGATATTTTACACATAAACATATTTATAAAAAAAAAATTAAATAAAAATTAAAACTAAACAATTAACAAAAGATAACATAATTAGTGGGAGAAAAGTGTGAGGCAAAAAAAAAAAAAAACGAAGAATATTAAAAAATTGATAGATACCTTTGACGTTTAAACAAAAGTGCGAAAGGTGAACAATAAATTGTGAAAAGAACAGGAAAGGAAGATACCACGATACAGGAACTTGCCACAATCACCACAAGCAACACAGCAAGGCAACATCACCAATAGGACATAACAAACACCAGAACTACAAACAACATCACATATATTTTATAAAAAGGGAAGTAAAGAGGGTTTGGAAACCAAGTAGTAAGTGGCACTTTTTTTTTTAATTTCTAAAATACATATATTTTTTTTCCTAAATATATACCAGAAATTGAGAGAATTCTGCAATCAGGGACAATATTTTTCTTAAAGGCGGAATTCTCTTAACGCCAAAATTAACTAAAATCCGTAGTTTTCCTTTTTCACTTTCGGTTTTGAAAGTCCGTAGTTTTACTGAATTTTTTCTATTTTTTAATTACCGTGGAAGAAAGGGTAAGCGCCTAATTTTGCGGCCGTTAGATACATAGCCGCTTTCATACATAGCCGTTTCACTTATATATAAACATATATACCCATATGTACTTATTCCCAAAAAATATAATTGCAGTTCTGGCCTACTTACGGTACTGTGCAATCTTTTTATGCATAAACATCAAATTCTAATCGTCTGCATTGTCAGCTGTCCTCCATGGGTAAATACCCCATAAAATACAGCATTAGAAAAAAAATAGCAGAAAATTAATGAAGTGGAAGATATTCACCACTTTGAAAAAAGAGCGCAGCTTTAAAGAGCTAACTTTACTGCAAGTGATCTACTCATTGCATTTTCCAATTTCCGCTTGGTGCGATATTCGCTCTCGACATTACAAGAGAAGCATATATTGTGTGTATGTTTATCTCCTAAACATTAAGCACATACTTTCACCTTAGTACTCTTTTTTATTGTTTTAGCGCTCTCTTCGTTGCGCGAGCAGCTGAGGTCAAAATATTTGTTGACATAAATATACACACATGCGTATATACAAATATGGTCGTATATATTCAATCAGCTCTTGTATCTGTTTACGGTTGTAATATGCATGCATACATATTTACATGTCTATGCTGAAATCTTGACAACGAGATACAAGATCGTTTGAAAACCCAACAGGGAATTGTTCTGTCCGCTATTTTGAACGAAATATATCATTTCGATATAATTATTAAATAATTGACAATTGACTAATTTTAATTTATTTACAAATTATATATAAATTATTTATTACATTTACTTTTATTATACACGTATATAACCCACGTTTATAAAAGTGAAAGTGTTTGTGATTTTTTTATTATTCCTTTTCGGTAAAATTTTTTTTTCGAAAATTTAATTTTTCGATAATACAATTAATTAACAAGTTGTGATTTTATACAAAAAAAAAAAGCACAAACACAGCCACAATTTTTTTTTTACATTTTTCTGTGGCATAAAGTGCATTTTTTTTCTATAATAAAGCACGAAGTGCGAACATCCGTCATTTGGAAAATCTCAATTCTAATTTCACGGTTTTATCTTGCGATTTTTAAATACATTTTTGCTTTTAAATGCCAATTGGTCATAGTCCTACCAAAGGTACTAAGGAATCCAAAATGTCCGATTCCGAAACAAAGAAGGGATCTTCACTCGAAGCCCTAATCACTAAAAGGGAATCGTCACAAACGCGCAGATCTAAACAGATCGATCCTTCCGCGCAACTATTAATTTCATTAAGTGACAATGTCATTAGATACTGTTCCCGATTCGGTGATTCCCCTATTCAGGATCACACGGAAACGTTCCTAAAAATCAAAGACAAATCACTAGATGAGTGTTGGCCAGAATTCAAAACTGTCTATAAAGAGGTTTGTTCAAAGCCCGTTGAATGTCTGCCCGAAAATTTTAAAACTTCAGCAGACAATTAATATTTGACATGCCATGATACATATGAGCATACAAAGATGAGGATAGCAGACCAGCTCGAATTAATTCCAGCAGCTACTCAGCCGAGTCCACCTTCTCGTGTGGAACGAATTCCAGAAGAAGCTTCCTCTTCAAATATATGCCTGAAAGTCCCAGCCTGCGACACAGAGACATTCTATGGGGGTTATGAAGAATGGCCAGCTTTTCGTAATATGTTCACAGCTGTCTACATTAACCACTCTAAGCTCTCCCGTGCACAAAAGTTGTACCATCTCCGGTACAAAACGGAAGGCAAAGCTGGCTCAATCGTCAAACAATACCCCTTGAGCGATGATAATTTCGAGCTAGCATTGGAGGCATTACGGGCAAAATACGAAAACAAACGTATTCTAGTTGACAACCAAATAATAGTCCTACTCTCGCTGCCCAACGTACAAACCGAAAATAGCAAGCAAATACAAAGACTGCAAACAACAATAAATGGCTGTCTGTCCGCCTTACATTCCCAAGGCGTATGTACAGACAGTTGGGATCCAATGTTAGTCTATATATGCTCCTCGACTACCTGAAATGTGGTTTCCTTGTGGGAGCAATCTCTTGCATCTCGAAAAGAGTTGCCAGCATGGTCGCAAATGAATGACTTCCTCACTTCTAGATACGAAGTGGTGAGCATCTTAATCGGCTTCATCCAAGCCAAAACAAACCAAAACCAGTCGCCACTCAAAACATCGCTCACAATAGATCCTTTAACAGGATACAATCATTTGTGGTGGAACAAAACAGGGATAACACATGTCCGTGTTGCAATTCCCGACACGCAATATCGCAGTGCCACAATTTCAAGAAAATGTCGGTATCAAACAGAATACGTTTTGCGAAGCAGAATAAACTCTGCAAAAACTGCTTATCATGAAGTCATCACAGTAATGATTGTAGGAGCAGGTTTGCATGTGCACATTGCCAGTTACGGGATCACTCCTTGTTGCACCTAAATGCAAAACCAAACGCTCAAAACGCCAGCAGCAGTTCTTATAACTCTACTGTGTAACACCCAACTGCCAAGTCAACGTCTCCAGTTCGACAAGCGCATACCTGCTCCAATCCAAGCGAGCAACCGTGCTGCTCTAAGCAAGCACACATTCCATCATTACATGCGGGACACGATAGCAGCACTCTCCTTCCAACTGCCATTATCGCAGCGGAACACCAAGGAGAATTGTTTCAACTCAGAGCCTTAGTTGACCAAGGCTCACAACGAACTTTCATTTCCTCCAAAGTTCAAAAAAGGTTGCGTCTTCCAGTCGAACATTCCAAGTTCGATATTTCTGGAATGAGTGGACACATCGTCCAAAACTCATCCAAACTTTGTTCTTTGACCCTGGTATCACCCAAAACCAAGCAACGGATCAATGCCCAAGCCATCGTGCTACAAAAGCTAACGAGGCATTTGCCAACCTTTACCTTAAGCCGTAATACTTGGCAACAGTTCAAAATCCTTGAACTAGCTGACCCAAATTGCCATATACCAGCTCAAACACATATGGTAATAGGTAGTGACATGCTCCCACAAATTTTCGTGGAAGGTGTACAAACAATTTGTGACAGAGTACTTGCGCAAAAATACTTTATTTGGCTGGATCCTTAGCGGTCCAGTAACCGAAAAAGTAGTGTCATTCTCGACACAAGTAGAAGAAATCTTAATTGATACAATTGAGAAGGAAATTCCTTCAACCCCACAAATTACTAATGAGGATCAAGCTTGCGAAAAAATATACAAGTAAACCACTACTAGTGCCCAAAACGGTCGGTATATTGTGCGGCTTCCATTCAAGGAAGATTTTCCCGCAAAACTCTCTTTAGGCCACTCCCGGTCTACAGCGCTTCAACAATTTTTCACTATGCACGCTAAAGAAAAAAGAAGAGTTAGACATAATGTACAACAAAGTGTTGCAAGAATATCTTGATCTCGGCCACATGGAATTCACCTACCCGCGTGAAATAATCTCCAGTGGTAACTATCACTCATTCTACTTGCCACATCATGCCGTCGTAAAACCAGATAAAGTGACCACTAAAGTTCGAGTGGTGTTTAACGCCTCAAGAAAATCGAGCTCAGGCAATTCGCTTAATGATGTTTTGCATACTGGTCCTACTCTCCAACCAGACCTCATGCTGCTCATTCTTCAATGGCGCATGTACAAGTTTGTATTCAATGGAGATATTGAAAAAATGTATCGTCAGATATTGATTCACGACGATGATAAACAGTTTCAGCGAATAATATTTCGCAAATCGGCTGAATCTCCTGTCACCGATTACTGCCTGAAAACTGTTACATTTGGGGTCAATTGTGCACCATACCTTGCCATCCGTACATTGCATCAACTTACAACGGATACTGCGGCAATATATCCACTGGCTGCACCAATAATACGAAACCAAACATATGTCGGTGATATTCTATCCGGTTTCACTTTTCCAAGTGGTCAGTGCTGTAAAATCTGCTGGTTTCATACTTAAAAAAATTAAGGGCAAATAACGCAACCATACTGCAACAATATCCCAAAGAGGATATGCTCGATTCAAACTTTCTGAAATTCGAGAGTGCTTTTAAAACCAAAACTCTGGGTATCCAATGGAACGCTCTAACAGATAAGTTTACCTATACAATTCTGCCAGCTACTTCAGCGAATGCGGTCACTAAGCGACAAATTTTATCGTCGGTTGCAAGACTTTTTCACCCGGCAGGATGGCTGTCGCCAGTTATGATTCAAGCACGAATTCTGTTGCAAGAACTCTGGCTAGACGGCACTGATTGGTATGAATGTGCTAAACCCCACAGCTTTGTCAAAATGGCTCACCTTTGCTGAAAGTCTGCCAGCCATTTGCGCAATCGAAATACCACGCTGGGTAAATTTCGCTCCGGGGCAAGATATCCAAATACACGGGTTTTGCGATGCTTCGGAGAAAGCAAATTGTGCAACAATTTACATCCGCACACATGCTAACAATGAAATAACGTCCACTCTTCTGGTTGCAAAAGGAAAGGTAGCACCGTTGAAAACGGTAAGCTTACCACGCTTAGAGCTGTGTGGCGCGTTACTTTTAGCAAAACTGGTTGCAACCAATCAAAAACAACTCAGTTTACAAGCGTGCAACATATTTCTATGGTCAGATTCTGAGATCGTATTGGCATGGCTCGAGAAGCCACCATGCACATGGAAGACCTATGTATCAAACCGCACCTCTCAAATCCGAGAATATGTTCCAAGCGGTACATGGCGTCATGTTGCAAGCGGAGATAATCCCGCACATCTTGGTACACGCGGCTGCAAGCCGCAGGACTTAGCTGCCAATTCACTTTGGTGGCACGGACCGAAGTGGCTCTCCTGCAACACGGATTCTTGGCCAAATTCAAAGGCCTGCAGCGTTTCTCCGCCAGCAAGGCGTAAGTTAGAAACACTCGATTGAAGATGAGCCCGACTATCTAGATCGGTTCTCCTCATTTTCTCGATCAATCCGCGTTACTGCATATATGTTTCGTTTCCTGGACAACGTCCGAAATAAGTCAAAGGGGCAACCATCACTCACCTTGCCACATCTGACACATAGTGAATGCCAAGCCGCAAAGAAGCGCATCATCGACATTTCTCAGAAGCGCTATTTTCCTAGCGAAAAAGACTCAACAAAAAGAGTTCATTACTAGTTCTGAATCCATTTTTGGATAAAGATGGACTTCTTCGTGTGATTGGTAGATTGGCACATTCCACGTTGAGCTACAATGAAAGACACCCAATCATAATCCCAACTAAATCGAGGTTCTGCCAACTATATTTGAAGTTTATGCACGAACTGCTTCTTCACGCAGAGACACGTTTGATGCTTCAAATGGTCAGGCAAAAGTTCTTCATTTCGAAGCTCAAACCTCAATGGCCGCTCTACCCCCTGAGCGTTGTACATTCACACTCCCATTTTCTACAAAAGGAGTAGACTTTGAAGGGCCGTTTCAAATAAAAGCTTCAGTCTTGAGGTCGAACCCATATTTCAAAGGCTATGTTGCAGTCTTCGTCTGCAACTGCCTTGAGCTATGTTCAGATTTGACAACTGAAGCATTTCGAGCAGCGTTTGCACGTTTCGTCGATCGACGAGGACTTCCATCCAAAATTCAAGGCTAACGAAATTTGGCCAAAAAGGATATAGGAATTGGCGCGTGATGGGGCACACGGAAATAGTGGGAAAAGGCGGGTAATTCCACGCGCACGGCAATTACATTTATTTTTTTGTTTATGGTGGTTTAAGCATTTAAGTAGACGCTTAAATATACTCCCCGTCCTGCAGGGATGCGTTGCCCAACACATTCTGGAGCGTTTGTAGAGCCCGGATCACGTCTCCAATAGCGCCTCTGGCAGCGCGGTTGCGGAAGGCGGGCGTTTGTAAACCCGTAGTAGTTCCTGTTATTTTTCCCGTCTTAATTTCTCGCGGTCGCCCCGCTGGTGTCGGAACTGGAGTTGCTGCTGCTTTACGATGCTTGGGTTGGCTGCGCCTTTTCTTTATTGTAGGTGCACGTTGTTTGCGCGCGATGGTGCCGCTGACTTCTTCCTTGTCAATACCTGGGGAGTTGCGTTTGCGGCTGGCTTGCTCTTTACGGCTGCATCTTGGTGCATCAATGTGTGATGCGCGTTGTGTAAGTGTTTACAGCTGCTCGACGAATCACACTCGCGTGTCGTATGCAGTAGCATTGTGCCCTGGCTACTACAAGCCGTTGTGGCGGCTTCATCGCCCGGAATGCGCCACACATGCGTAGAGGGTGGTATTTGTGGCAGAGTCTACATTGCAGACAATTCTCTGTTTTTGCCGTAGGGGTCAAGGGTACGGCCATTTTTGTCGCCATTTTGTGGAACGAGAAGATCAAAAAATAGTGCGGACAGTATTAGGGGAAACTGGATGGATTTATAGTTTTTCCCTGAAACAAATGAAGGTTTTGTTTTATTTTTGGTTGTGAGCTAAGGGTGCTCATTAGGAAAAAAAAGCACAACTTGACAAGTGAGCGCGTGATAACCCCGTTTTGGGTACGTACATCCAATACTCGAATGCAATTATAAGGCCCACGGCGAACACTTTCAATTCGACCGAGTCGCCACTCGCTTAGCGGCGGCCGTTCGAGCTAACGAAAAATCATTCTAAAATCAACAAAAATCCGCGGTCTCTTTCTATTTTAGACATTCAAGAACCATCACCAAGAAACAATTTAGTTAAATTTTATATATGTATTTATAGAAATTTTATTCGTAAAGAAAACCATAATAAATATCACCTGTGAAATAACATTAATTGAATTTTTCATTAAAATAATTTGTGAACAGTTTTAAATCAAAAAGAAATGCTTTTTATTCAAACTGTGGGCCCGCTCGACAACCGGCATCCCCTTACTTCCCCTCAAGTCCTTAGCGACTTGAACACGCAGTTTTTCCGAAGTGAAAGTCGGCTATAAAAGAATGCCTCATTACGAGAGTGCTTAATTAATATAAGCAGTTAGATCACATGAGTGAGGTTCGACCTATTCCGACAG